AGATCCATGAAGGATTATCAGATTGAAAACTGGATCATTCTGTCTTTTTGAAGATCAACAAGATCTATGGTCCAATGGAAGTGGACCTGTTTGCATCCAGGTTAACCAATCAGTGCCGTCGCTACTTCAGCTGGCAGCCAGATCCATTTGCAGAAGCAACAGATGCCTTTTTCCAGGATTGGACAACAGTGAAAGGCTTTGCCAACCCACCTTGGAAGCTGGTACAGAGGGTGCTAACAAAAGCACAGGCTTAAGGGGCAGAAGTAACTTTGGTAGCCCCAGTGTGGAAATCCCAACCATGGTATCCTCTCCTACTGTCATTACTAGTAGACTGGGCACGCCTACTACCAAAGCAGGACATGACAATAGAGTCAGTTCCGATAATGCCCCAACTAGCCGTGTGGAGCATCTCAGGGAAAGACTCAATGAACAAGGTCTTTCAAGCCAAGCTACAGAGCTCATCCTCAGTTCAAGGAGGACAAAAACAAATAAGTCATATGACTCATTATTCGGGCGATGGAATCACTGGTGTACTAAACAGGGTTCCAATCCCTTTTCAGGACCTGTAAGTGAGGTTGCTAATTTTTTAGCAACACTCTATCAAGAGGGTTATCAATACAACTCCATCAATGCATATAGATCAGCTATATTATCGGTGCATGAAAAGGTTGATGAACTACCAGTAGGTCAAGACCCCATCATCACCAGACTGGTGAAAGGGGTATTCAATGTGAGACCACCCATCCCTAGATATTCTAATACGTGGGATGTTCAGAGGGTATTAAATTACCAGGGAAAGGAAACACCCTTATCACTAAAGGCTCTGACTTTGAAAACAGCCTTTCTATTAGCCATTACAAGACCATCCAGGTCAGCTGACCTCTCACAATTAAACACTGCAAGAATAAGAAGAGGTATGAATGGGGTATCATTTTTGCCCTCAGTTTTGGCAAAACAATCAAGGCAAGGAAAGCCAATAGAACCCTTTTATTTTCCAGCTTTCCAGGCTAACACTACCCTCTGTCCAGTTAACACCCTTGATACATACCTGGACAAGACCAAGCAAATGAGGGGAAATGAAAACAGACTATTCATTTCCTTCATAGAACCACACAAAGCAGTTACATCTAGTTCCATTGCAAGATGGCTAAGAACTAATCTTGAAGAGGCAGGAATCGACTCCTCTATATTTGGAGCCCATTCTACCCGTGGGGCGTCAGCCTCAACTGCAGCCAGAGGTGGAGTTACTCTAAAAGAAATCCTAAAAGCAGCAAATTGGAACTCAGAGTCAGTCTTTTAATGGTTTTATCACAAAAAAGTGGATCGAGCGGCCTATGGAATAGCCGTCATTAATGACTAGAATAGCTTGGAAGAAGCTACAAACAACACAGTTGATATGTGAGACTGAGCCTTCTGAAATATAATTGTCAGAATGGCTAAGGCCACAAAGTGGCTGCAAGCTATTCTAGATTATATGAAGAAGGTGAAGTCGATCATATCAACTATCCACACCCACCCTCCCAATGGAAGTAGAGGAGCTAATCAAAGGCCAAGGAAGATGGCTGAAGCAGGGGCTTATATAGTGAGGCAAGTGGGCGGATGGGTGAACCAAAAGTTATTAAAATTAGTTATTTAACTACAAGTTAGCTGTAAGTTAAGAAAACTGGCCAAACACAGTTGATATGATCGACTTCACCTTCTTCATATAATCTAGAATAGCTTGCAGCCACTTCATGGCCTTAGCCATTCTGACAATTATCCAGCGCCATGTTTGCACACATAATATACTTGAAACTTTTTATATACAAGTTGTATTGACAAGCCATAGTAACCCACTGCCCTTGCACTTTTTCATGTAAGTTGGTTTGGCTCAGTACAGCTTACAAACAACACAAAGTTATGACTTTAGCAGCAAGAAAGCATACAGATTTACATCCTGAAAGGCACTAGAAGGCAGAGAGAACCTCTATCAGTCTCAAACAGAACCCAGCTATGCATGAGAATTGGCAAAATGAATTTTCTACACTTACATATAGTGGGTATAGTTGAGTTTCACAGGTGAAACATCCTTATAACTTTTTGTTATCAAAGCTAGCAACTTAAAACTTAGTATGGTTACATAACGGGTTCTCCACATAACTGAATTGAGTCTCTGGGTACTCTGGAAGGTTCTCAATGGGTTCTTCCAGTTTTCATCAAAGAAGCCGCCATGATGTTGCATTGCGTGTTATGCTCGTGAATATAATTTGCATCTCATTACATCTGTTAACAATCATGTTTCATTTGTTTAAAAATAATATGAAGCAAAAGGAACACCCAGACTAAGGGATTACTCACTAGAAGGTCTTGCACTTCAGAAGGAAGCCTCAGCTTGTCTGCTTTTACCTCTCCAATACTGCTGTCAATTTTTACCGCTCTAAAAATCCCATGTCATCTTGCATTTCTTGCCTCTTTTTTGAAGTAATAACAAGGACAAAGATCCTGCAGGTAAGATGTAGAGGAAATAGCACCCAAAACAAGAGGCTCAAGGAGTTAGAGGAAGAAAAAAAGAGCACATTGTAGTTTCAGCCATTTTCGTGTGAAGTCTAGATCCTTCCCTCACTGGTATACTCC